CTGCCAAAGCTGTTTGTAATGATGTTTAAAGTAGGTAAAACTCTAATTTTGTTTACATAAGTATTTTACATTTGGACCCAGAGGAAGAAAGAGGATGCTTTTTCAGTGGGGCTATGGAAAGAGTTAATGAAATACAGACAGAACTCTGAACACAACTTCCAACAGTTTTCCTAGTTAGTACAAATCCAATTAATGTGAACCTGCCAGGAATAGCAGTGTTATTTCTATTTGACATGGTTTGGGCTTCTCTTGTCAAATCTGTGTCGGTTGCACCCTGATCCCTCCATTATCAAGTTTTGAAGGGTGTTGGGGGAATTCTGGCAGCTGCTAGGGAGATCAGAGAAACACTCATGTAACCTCACAGCCTCTCACCATTCCTTTTGGCTTGGAATGGCCTCTTTCTCGTATACATTTCTAGAAAGATTGCAATTCTACCTTAGTAGTTCACATTTGTAGTTTAAACAAGTGATTGTCCATCTGTTGCCTAGACCTAGAGTACATGTGTGTTATGAATGAAATATGACAGCATGCTCCATACCCCTGCTTTAGCCATCTGTAGGAAACCAGTAGGCTGAAAAAGATATACCTCTGCAAAATGGGCCTCAAGTCCGTTGCCTGAGATCGCTCTTTTAGTGCACTTTCATGGGAGAGAATTGAAGAGAGCAATGTAATTTTGTGCCTTATTTTTAAAGAAAGTACTTACACTACTATGAATACTTCACTGCAGAGTCCGTGATATAAATAACAACCCTCAAATCTCAAAGACATACTCATCAAAAAGCCACAAACCAGAATCCAGAGGAGTCTGAACAGTTTATCTTCGTGTTTTCTAATAATCCTCCTTTCCCTCTTGTCTCTTGGGGGTACCTCATGGATCCCTAAATTAGGAGGACATTCTTATGCCAGGAGGTGATGCAGTGGATGTTGTTAGTGTTTATATTTTGATCTTATTCTGGTTCTAGTTAGTTAATGAAAGCAGAGATTTCAGCTTGAGCCTCTCCAACATCCGTTAAGCATATCCATGTTTTTAAAATTGCCCTAGTTTATTTTTATTTTATTTTTTTGGTAAATAGCGGACAGAACAAGTTGGGAATCCTGTTTCTCAATCATTACTATCGTGCAGCCATGAAATAATCAGGTCAGATTATTTACTTGACAGATAAGTAAAATGAAACTTTTCTTATGAGACTGTTGTTTGGTTAGTGTATTATATCAAGCCTTTAAAAATTATCTGATTAAAGCTACTAGGACTTGGTGAAAGTTCTTCGCTCCTTTCCTCTCTATCCTTTCTTTTCTTCTTCCTTTCCTTCCTTCCTTCTGTTTATCCTTCCTCTTGATGCTACCATACTTGAGTTTGTCCTGAAGAAACTAAATCAGTTCATTACAATCCTCATGGAATTACGATCATATTAAGGGGAGAAGGCTACACCAATATACATGGTATCCACAAAACCTTCATTTCCAAGGGCGTATATTACAGGCTGTGTTTGATTGTTTTTGTTTTTCATAAAATGAGATGAGGTAATACGGTCTTTCAGTTTTCATGAATTTTTTTCAGGGAGTTAGGTCGTAGAATTCTTGGCAAATTCATTTATGACTGCTCTAGTTTTCTCAGCTATATGCAGAGTGAT